TGATTGATTGATTGATTGATTGATTGATTGATTGATTATGTGCCATCAAGTTATTTTCCACTCCTAGTAACTACATAGATAAATTCTAGGCAGGGAGATAAATGGTTGTGATCTAAACCATCTATGGATTTTCCTTAATCAAAAAGAAAATCCACCCTAAATTTATTAAATTTAAATTTGAAAAGATAAAAACTGGATTGATCTGCGTTTATTGCTATTTCTCAGCGAGTCTGTGACCTTCAATTTGAAAAGAACACGACTCTGCAGGGGGGAGCACTTGATTGACTTTATGTGGCCTCAGAAGCTAAGCAAGGGTAGACCTGGACAGTCAATGGATGGGGCACCACAAGGAAATCACAAAAGGTACCCTGGACTGGGAAGTTGGACATCCTGGGAGAAAACTACGGCAAAACACATTTGCAATTTTGCCCACAAAACTACATGGATCTTCAGTGAAGTCTCCAGAAGTTTTTGAAGGAAAAAAAATAAGACTTTACATTGTAGATAAATAGAGGGTGTCCCAAAAATCTTAGTGCAGTTTTAAGTTTTAACAAGTGCAATTTTAAGCTTTGATAATGAGATTTCCAGTGGTTCAAGCCAGTTTTCCAGCCCACAGTGCCTTAATAATCGAGGTAATGAAAGATCACCTTCAGTCAGAGTTAAGATTTGGGAAACAGACCCCGGTTTGCACCAATTTTGCAATCCGCCCCTTCCAGCACACTCCCCTTGGCAGACGAGCCCTCTAACCACTCCTCAACGCTACCCATCTGCACGAAGCAGGAAAGATTACCTGGGAAACTGGGGAAATAGGCAGCCAGGTCCGAGCTGAGGATCTTCTCCTCCAAGATATCCACTTTGTTGAGGAAGAGAATGATGGAGGTGTTCCAGAACCAGGGCAGCTCAAGAATCGTCCTGAAGAGGTCCAAACTCTCCCTCATTCGGTTCTGACGGGGGGGAGCGAAACGTGGGGAAGTAAAGAAGGAAAACACGCATGAAACCATGAGAGCAAGCCGCACGGCAGTTTGGGGGTGCTGGGGGCCCTGTTTGCAGCCCTTGACATCGGTTTCCCCAAAGGCACAACCGAAAGACCTTTCAGCTGGTTCTGGGGACCAGACAGATTATACATACATACATACATATATGTATATGTATATGTATACATATATGTATATATGCACCCCCAGATCTGACCAATGAAGCATGAAGACCTCAATGGCAAGAGGAGGAGGAGGAGGAAGAGGAAGGAAACCAGCTGTAATGAAGCAGAGCAGGGGGTTCAAACTTTGTCAGGTGGCAGGCGCATGTCCCGAAAAGCGATCTTCATGCAAAATGATTTTTGATTTTCATGCAAAAATCATTTCCCCAAACCCAGGATCAAACAGGAAAGCTCTAGCGAGAGACCCTGGCAACAAAGCTTGGGCTTGCCACAATTCATTTATGCCCATGTACATATGAAAGATATTTGGGGAGGGGAGTCACCCTTAATCTGTCAGGGACTCTGATCAAGTTCTCCCACTCTGAAAACCCCCGGATGAGAGTGTCCTGCCAGGCACAGCTGGTAGGAATCCTGCATGATCATCTCCCCAGTTGCCCCCCACCCCCCAAAAAATATTCCTATCTGAACACCGCTCCTTACTTCACTATTATTCTCCTCCAGGGACTGGTCATACTCGCTCAGAGAGGCCAAATAGATCAAGACAATCACATTTTCGAAACAGTGGATCCACTTCCGGCGTTCAGATTTCTGCCCGCCGACATCAACGATCCTGAAAAAAATAGAAATAAAAAAATTCTACAGGGAACTGCTTTGTAATGAACAAAGGCTAGCTAACTGAGGTTTAGCTAACTCAGGTCTGTCTCCCGAGATTAGAGTCAGCAATGTGGGTTTACCAGAGAGGATGTTCTGAGTTTAGTTTTATTTTTTACTTTTTGAGGTTCCAGGGAATTGAACCTAATTGCCCGGCCGGCAATGCCCAATTTCTATCCCTTAAAGTACAGCCAGAAAGGAGGTGGGTGTAGGAGCGTCAGAAACTCCAGAATGGGAAGGGACTCTTAAGATCATCCAGTCCATCCCTGGCTTGGTACTGGAATCCAGATTTGCGTAAAAATGAAAAAAACGAATGTATGATTTATAGTCTTGATGATTAGCAGGATAGATTACCAAAAGAAGAGTACTATAATGTACCATTAGAGAGAGAGCTTAAAGTATATTTGTACTTATAACCGCTGTGAAGAATATCTTTATTCTCTATGTCTTTCTTTCTTTTCTATTTTTCCTAACTTTTTTTCTTTTCTTGCACTTTTTGCTTTTCTCTGATTTCTTTCTTTCTTCTTCTTCCTTACTTTATATTCATTTGTGCTAGTTTTAGCTTCTGGTTTAAAAGCTTTAATAAAAATTATATTTAAAAAAAAAAAGGAATCCAGATTAAAGCATCCAGGATGGTGGGTTTGCATCTTCTGCTCAATCACATCCAGCAAAGGAAAGGTGAACATCTCAATGGACCATGAGTTTCGCTGCTGAATTGCTCTTACTGTTGAGAGAGTTTTTGTGCTATATCCTGAAATAATAAATTGCCAGAATAAATTCTACTCATCTGGTCCAGACTAAATGGGACTTCTTGAGGGTCATGGCAGGTGGACCAGATTTTAAAGCGATAACCTCTTATTTATTTATTTATTTATTTATCTATCTATCTATCTGATTTATTTATTTGATTTATAAGTCTTCAAAGTGATATCTATCTATCACCTATCTATCTAACTATCCATCTATCTTTATTGATTGAGATTTGATTTGATTTGATTTGATTTATAAGGCTGCCTGACATTCTCCTGGAGGTATGGCTGGCCCCGATCCAGCTTCTTCTCTGCAAACAAGCTCTATCTATTCTGTTGCAATTTGCTTTTGGCCCTTAGTTGTTTTTAAGTGCCTTGATTATGGGTTTGTAACTGCTCTTCTTTTTTATATATAGTATATTGTATGTTTTATTTTGCTGTTGCGCGTATTTTGCTGTATTTTACCTGCCTAGGTTGGGGTGGGATATAAATACTGTTAATATAAAAAATGCATCTGGAATCAGCCTTCCTGCATTTGAAGAGCATTCTATGGGGACAGAGAACAGAGCAGGTCTTGATCTGGGATCTTCCCTGGGATCTTCTTTTAGATATTTGTAAACTACCATGCTCAGTACACAAATTTAATCAATCAAGGACACAAATTTAATCAATCAGTCAATCAATTCAATAAATCCAATAAATCCATGTTATTGGATTGATTGATTGATTGATTGATTGATATTCCCTTCTCTGTATTCTAAAATCTAACTATTGCTAGTTCTCTCAACCTCTCTTCTTAGGATTTGTTTCCAGTCCTCTGATCATCTTTGATGTCCTTCTCTGAATCTTTGTGAGTTTGTCTCGCTCCTTAAAAAATGAGAAACCTGACTCATGAAAGCAAAGGAAACTTGTGGGTATGCCAAATCTCATAAACATAATTAAGTTATGCCTGTCACTTATTTACTGAATTTCTTCGCACTTGTTAACCCCAAAGGCCCCCAGGGTGGAATAGACAGGGGAGTCTGCAGGGTGAGGTCAAAAAAAGTCCACTTGATGGGCACGATGTGTGATCACACACCCTGGAGCCCTCTGGGGGACAGACTCACAGTCTGAAATCCATGATACAGGATGTGATGGAATGGTTTGGTGAAGGCTGCGCACGGGGAGATAAGCACTTCCTTAGCCCCCAGAAGGAGTGTGGGAAGGTGAAGAGGATGAGGCTGGCACCACCCTAAGGAATTCGCAGTGTTTGCTTGCTGGCTTGGGAAGTTTAGATTCAGTCTGACGAGATTCTGTCTCGTAGATGGAAGCTAATAAATGCA